CCAGGCTGAACAGCCCCAACTCTCTCAGCCTCTCCTCATAGGAGAGGTGCTCCAGCCCTTGGATCATCCTTGTGGCTCTCCTCTGGACATGCTCCAGCAGGTCTATGTCCTTCTGATGTTGGGGGCCCCAGAGCTGGACACAGTACTCCAGGTGGGGTCTCACCAGAGCAGAGCAGAGGGGCTCTGCTCTCACTAGAGCAGACAGGATCGCTTTGGAGAGTGACCATCACAGGAGGAGGGTGAGGTGTACATAGAACCTCCAGTCTTTGTCCCGTCCTGCCCATCCGCTGTCCCCAGAGGCACCGTGTGTGCTGCCAGCGTACAGCGTGCACGTTGGCAGCCTCCAGACACACCAACAGCCCCGCTGAAGCACACGGTGCCTCCGTGCCTGCTTGTTTAGGGCTGAAAAGGCTCTGTGGCTTTTATCCCTCTCCGAGTAGGGATTCAGCCTATTGCTTGGATATATATAAATTCGCCAGGGAGAGGTTTAAGGCCTCCTTCAGTGCCAGCCTATCCTGTCAAAAAGTTCTGACGATGAAATTGCGTGATGATGCCATTCAGATCACAGATACCCACATAAAATCAGTAGACTATTATTGGTAACAAAGATACTAAAACGATTTTCCGTATACTTTGACCAAAGAATTTGGCCTTCCAATTTATATGCCAAATCAGTATAAAAGTCTATCACAGCTGAAAATTAACCCAACAAAATATACTGTTTGTAAGACCCTGTAAAATCACATCGGCATGATTTTCTGCACTAAACATATCTCAACAGGATACAGTAGCCAGAAAAAAATGCATTCCTTCATATCTAGGAGCTGCATTTTGACCCCACCTGTGAGCACTTCTAGATTATCACCTCTCGGCCAGCCTAAGCTGAACAGGTAAGCTTCTCATTTGAAAGGGAAACTGGTTTTGGTCCCTAACTGGTATTCTACCAAACCAAAGCACTACTGAAGTAACTCTGATGAAGCCCCCTCGCGCTCAGTAAAAAATACATCATTTCATCGCGGGGAGCCGCACGGCCCTGCCAATGCACTCCGGTTCCAGAGCTTTCAAGACATGATTTACATATCTCAGGACTAAGAACAAAATAAATTTTTGAGGTCCCCTGTTTCAGTGATGCTTATGCCTTCCACAGATATTTCACAGATATCCCTCCTCAGCTACAAAATCCTTTAATGCACTTTTTATCACCTTTCTTTATTGCCCTTAGTCATTTCAACTAACCACTTTTAGAGGCTAAAGACTAATTGTAGTTCTCTTTTATTAAATTCCCCAGCCAAGCAGTCATCTGGCACTATTGCTTCAGTGTGTCTAAACCGTGCACTCTTTGTTATTCACACATGGGAGCCGAGCTGACACAGGAGGACGAGATGGACATATGCTGAAGCACAAGGCAAAGCCCAGAAATTAGCTTGAAAGGAGACTCGGCAGCTTGTGTGTGTTGCATATTTTTTCAGTTAGATGCTAATGTGATTAAAGTATCAGGACACAACAAAATTAAGGTTATGATCCTTTGCCTAGTGAAGACAGGAATTCTTTCTTCTCTGTGCTGTGGATCAGGCTTGTAAAAGTGAGCTACTGCCTCAAAACCACACACAAACGACTTCTGCATTCACAGAAAGCGCCCCAGTTACTTATTCTTATGAGTCCAGAAAAGGTGTTTAAAAGAAATTATACAAACAAAAACGTGACGCTTCTGTCAGGCAAACAACATCAATATGCATAGAAATCAAGTTTCTCCATTGAGCCATGGGAAGCAAGAAAAAACGTGGGAGAGGAGGTGAAGCGGTGAGTTGATGATTCAGACTTCACAATCAAATTTAGAGATACAGAGATCAAAGCACGAGCTGTTTAGAAAGATGTAAATCTAAAGTCAGGAACAGGTGTGGATTAGTTTCTCGCCACCGAAAAATTATTTCTTTATTACTTTATTTTTCCTGTTCTACTTCAAGACCTGTACCTACAGATATTTGTCTACGTAAGGAGCTTTCTCACTTCTGTCTGCAACTACTGCTTTCTTTCCCTGCTATTTTAAGCAGAGTTCTAAAAATCTATCATTAATGATAACTCCTTCTCCTTCTCTCCCTCTCTCTCTCTCTCCCCTTCTCTGTTGTAAGTCTGGAAGACAAGTCTGGACCAATTTCTCCATCCTGCCTCTGGCAGCAGAATGCAGCATTTCAGATCCTCCACCGAGTCCCGGCTGCTTCAAAGGAAAAGCCCTACTTTCTTCCGTTAAGATCATAAGAAATATAGGGGGAGGGGGTCAGCTCTGTTTGGACATAATTACACTTCATCAAAAGAAGCTTTCTTCATCTTCCATGCGTGAAAAGTCTGCAAGCAGTTAAGTCTGTCTTTTTTCTTCCTTTTTTTTTTCTTTTTTTTTTTTTAAATATAAAAATTGCTATTTGGGAAACTAGCCAAAACTCAGAAAGCCAATATAGTAAAACAGTGCACACCCTTTGTTTTTCTTTGAAGTCTCTTAAATAAATACGTTGAGGGTTTGAAAAGTACACTATCGCTTTTCCATAGATTCTACCCAGATTGATCAGAGAAAAAGTCTATCCCAAGTCTGCTAGATACAAATATACATTAAATTACTGGAACCAAATTTTAGGAGATTTGTGTTTCTATGTGTCTGTAGCCATATCTACTGAGGCTTTAGGCCCTCTGTTTCATTTCCTATGCTTTAATAAAAAGTATATATCATAGATTTCAAGTGAAATTCACAGATCAGAGGTAGTACATCACATTTCAGTTCTTTTTCAGCTCTACTGACTGATACACTACTGAACTTTTACTGTAAGGCAGCAGTAGTGATGGAGCCAGAGGACTTTCAAACCTAATCCATCAGCAGAATAACAAAGCAGACTGGGGTTTTTTGAAGAAAGCAAGACAAATGGAAGGGACAGGTAACACCTTATGCAAAAGGGCAAAGAACTCCGTATTTATATTGCATTACTGTTGCAAGAGTTATTCTGTCTTTCAAGTCATTCTTTATTATTGATACTTTTTAAGTTGTAAAATGATAAAGACAATTATTGGCCAGGTCACTAAAAAACCAGCCACTGTAAGCCACGCTTATGGACTCACTTTCACAAAGTGAAAAGCGCCTGGACCTATTTAGACTATCTACGTCTCTGTAACATGTTTAATTTTTTTTTTTAAATAAATACTCTTTCCTTCCTTAAGATTAATTGCAACTGCTTTCTAAAGAATATTACTGTAAAATTAGCTTTATTGCTAATTCACCAGCACAATTGTTTGGCTTCTGTTGCTTTGTTTCGTGCCATGCAGAGCTAGTTTAAAAAATGAATAATTACTTCAAACGCATAAAGGAAAAAGTATGTAGGTTGAATCAAAGACTGATACAATAACCCCCTCTGAAGATTCCTGCAGCAAAAACTGAAGTGCCAGCTTCCTTCGAGCTATCCTTTCAATCATTACCTGAAATTGGAAAGCAGCTACAAGACTCTTAAAGAGGAGTTCTTGCAAGCTTGCAATGATTACAAAGGCTTTCTATGAGTGCAGTGCAGTTTCCAGATTATAGGAAGCTCCTAAACAGCTGGAAGACAATGACAGCACTCTACACCTTCAAAAAAAAAAAATAATTAAAAGTTACCCTGTCATTTAAAGTAAAGGTTAAATTTAGTTCAAGCCCGAGCTTACCAGCAATTCATAAAAAGTCAACCAGGTTACTAAAAAGAAAAGTACAGCTTATTTTTGCAGGTCATATGCAGTTTGGTTGTAAAGGGCAGGGAAGTCGCTAGAAAGCTTTCCACCAATAGCTGTAAGCCCTTAAAGATGTGAGCTCTTAAAGAATATATCCTATAGCACATGCGATATGCAAAATCCCCTTAATTATAGGTCTTCTGCAACAACTTCAGAAGCAGCTCTACTGCTAGAAGGGAATTCTCCACCTCTCGTTGCCGTGGCCTGAGATACACTCTCTGCCTCCACAAAACCCAGATCACAAATACCCTCTACAAACACTTCTACTTTTGCTGGGGGATTAAAATAAGGAGGCGGGTACTCTGCGAATCATTTTTTCAAAACCTGTGTCTGACAAAAACTTACAGAGACGTGAGGAGTCAGAAAAACTTTAGAGAAACTCTTAACTCGGTTTGCACAGATGCTGCACTTTGCAAACAGAGCACGCGCCCATCCCTCCAAATGAAAGGCTGATGACAGTGTATTTACAGATTGATCAGTAGTTCATTGCAAAGTAAGTTTGACATCTAGACATTGTTCTTACTTCATTATGGACACGTAAAATGCAGTGGCCTACCTCTTCCACTTCTGCCCACAAATCGTAAATCATTAAATCTGGCCACCTGGTTCTTCATCACAGCAGAAGCGTTTCGCAGCTCTGCAGAGTAGTTCTCATCGTTTCCAGCCATGACGGTGACCACCGTCCCATCAGGCACTTCTCCTAAGGCCACCACCTGTTAAAAGGGGAAGAGAACCGCAACTCATGAAGCAACGCTTTGAAAACGTGTGTCTCCATCCCAGCTTTGCAGGCTGCCATGCTCATTACGAAGCTCTGTGGCAGCTTCTCCAGCCCGCTGTGGTGACGAGTCATGGATTAGCTGAACACAGAACAAAGTGCCACATCAAACAAAGAAACATCTTGTATTGTCTCCCTTTCTCATAGCCTAATAGGGAGTTTCTTCTTTGTTACATTTCTTCAGAAACATTCAACGTCTTTATGTAGAGTGTATGGTTTAATGCCTCCTGAAGGCCAACTTTGTTCTTAGCAACCAGTGAGCAGCGAGAAAACATGAGGCATGGCTCGTATCCATAAATTATACGCGGGAGCACATTTGAAATGGAAAGTTCAAAATTACTATTAGCAGTCGTATCACCCAGATTCGGTCCTACTTCTCTGCCGGTTGCACCCATCACCCTGACCCCAGAGCTCCTCAGGCTTCAACCCAGAGAGAACCCCCCCCAGATCCCCATCCCAGCAGCGGCACCGGGGGCATTAGCAGACACAGCTCTCCACCCATCCCGCCGCTGCCATGGAGCACTTCATGGCTGGGATTCAAACTCTTCAGATGCAATATAAAACAAAGGCTGTGTTTCCTCGCAGGCATGTAAATTTTCAGCGCGCTCGCAAGAGTCGCGTGTGGTTAGCGCTTATATCTCCCGCAAATTCCAGGACGGGTGAAGAGAAGATATCAAAGTATTTCTCCCGACGTTTCAGCGAGCTGATAGTCTCACGTTTATGCTTCAGTGGTTGTGTAGTGCTCCGACATCTGATCAGATAAATGCCACAGAGCAGACAGCTACTGTCTTCTAATTTGGAAACACCAGGGATACCCACAGTGTTACTGCACCATCAGTTTTCAAAGTAAAAATAAAGTTTACTTTCTTTTATATATACTTTTACTAAATAAACAGGAATACTAAGATACTAGGAAGAAAACAGACATGTTTCTTTGCATGGGGTAAAAAAAAGTCCACATCAGTATCAAGAAAATAAATTCCTTTTGCCCAGTTAGCTAATACTGACACTGGAGATGATAAATTTATAACAAAAAGAGATTCACAAATATTGCATGGTTGAGCTCTAACTTGAAAAAAAATAAACCTTGAGATACAAAGTGTGTCCCCTTGCAGTTTCTACCAGTTTACACGGTCAGACATGACTTTTTATATTCTTCGGAGTAATTTATGCTGTCCCTGAAATATACATTACATTTTGTCATAAGCTTGGCTTGAAACGTCTTTGCCATAAATGATCCTGTCTGAAAGTAATAATTGCAGGTTGCATTTTAATATTAATTAAGCGGAAAGAATAAGGAGTTCTGAATGTATAGGGAGAGCATTATGTGGCCCAGTGCGCTGTACAATGTTTCTCTAAAACAATAAAAAATGAATGACAAAGGTATACAAAATCTGAAACTATTTAAAATAGACTGTATTACCGAAAATTACAGCTTGTCTTATTGAAAAAAGATATTGAAGAGAAAGCAGAAAGCAACGCTGAAACACTGTATGAAAAGGATCTACCCTGGTGCTCTTCTGCTTTTCCATAAAACACCAGGTGACACCACCCAAAACTGAAAACTGAGTTTTACCACAGACTACTGTGAAGTCTCTGTCTATCAAGCAAAGATTTTACTTTAAAGTAATATGAACGTCCCTCAACATAAAAACACAGGAACCACGGTTGTGGATAAGATCTGAGGTCCCACGAGCTCGCTGCCTTGGGTCTGACAGCAACCAGGACTGCCGGCTTCAAAGCCAGGTGTAAGGAATGATAAATAATAAGCAAATAACAACTAATATTCTGCTGAACAGATTATAGAGCTGGGTCTAACACTTAATAAATGGATATTGGCTTAAACTCTGCAGCACGGGGCTTGAGACTACTTATAAAACACTCTCTTCCCAGTTTGCGATAGACCACGTTATCTCTGAAAAGTCTTGTCCTGCACTTTAGCATTCAGGGGAGCTGCAACCTCTGCTTTTAAAACATCAAAAAAAAAAAAAAACCCACCAAAAAACCAAAAACCAACCAAAAACACATTAACTCCAGAAATGCAAAGAAGCCGAGAGCACAGGAGGAAGTGTGAGCCTGCCGGGGGCCTCGGCAGAGGGAGCGAAAGGAGTGCAGCCCCAGCTCACCTCCTTCCCTCGAGGTAAGCGGAGCAGCGGCATCACCTCTCCGCCTCATCCCACTCTCCCAAGCGTGGACACAGCTCGCAACACCTGGGCAGGAGGCAGCAAAACCTCTTTAAAGGCCTCCCCCCAAGTCCCTCATCGCTTTGCAGAGGTTTCCCCCCTACCCCTTATATCAGTTCGATTTGTCAGCTCAGGCATCAGCCTGAAGGTCCACGTGCCGCTGCCGGAGTCCCCGCGCTGATGGCGCCTAATCAAGAACTGCATCATTAACGAAATGCAGCGGCGTTCTGATGCGGTATGATGCAACATCACTAGTCGTCTCATTAGGAGAAGACCGAAGGAAAAGACAAACTGAAGTCAGAGGTGAAAATCAAATCTTCGGCTAATAAAAGAAAGCCCTACTACATGGAGAGGTCCCCCGCTATGCAACAGGAGTAAAACGTTTGTTGTTCTCATAATTTCCTACTGGTTTTGCCACAAAATACCAGAAGACCATTGCACACGTACATAATAGCACTGGTGAGAAAAAAGCTTTGCCAAACGAGTTTGAAACCTGGAGAAATCTGCATCATTTTGAGAATTTTTAGAAGTAACTTCACATACTGAAAGACAGTTGGCGTAAATCTTGATTCGGTAATTTTACGCTATAGTATCAATCCAAAATTCTTTACATATTCTTAGAAAGAGGATTCTAAGTGCACTGTGAAATGAATAAGGACTGCGTAAAAAATTAAAAGATTAGAAGTAGCCACAGTGCACGTTCCTTACCTATTCTTCAAACACAAATATCTCTGCTATTTCAAAATCTTTACTTTCCCTATTAAACTACCTACATATTTTGCTGATTAAAGGTAGATTTTGCTTTTGCTTTTTTTTTTTTTTAAACAAAAGCTCGAAAAGGTACACGAAGTCAGACGAAGCCACAAAATAAAACCAAACCAATTCTTACAAGTCGAAAATAGCTACATTTTTGGTTGGGTTTTTTTTTTTTTGGCATAACACAATTCTCATCTGGTTAGGCAACCTGTTTGCCCAGTTTCGGTCTGGTGGGATTTGAACTGGTCAAAGTATGTACCCTAAAGACGGAAGTTATAAGCACGAAGCAAAACTACTATACAGCAGCAGGTACTACGACTTTCAGCAGAGGAAAACGGTTGTTTCAAAACAAAAAGCTAGCGTACATGCTAAACAGTTCCTCTCAAACACTGATATCCACCACTTCAACAACTTGCAAAACACTGAATTCGAACGGCCTCTGAATGTAAAATCTTCCGTATCGAGGATGCCTTTTCCAGAGATTGCCAAAAGAGCATCTGATACTATTAAAAATATTTTAATGTTCTGTAACTTGAAACAGAATAACTGATTTGCGCTACTTTTTGTTTCAAAATGTACATCTGGGCTGACAATTTATACAGCAGGTTTCAGCTTGAAGTTATTTAAAACAGCTGAGTTACAAACTCTGAAAATTGGGGTTTGGAGTGGAAATGCTGACAGACCCTGAACTACTGCGGTGCTACTGGGGAGAGGTTTTAGACTTCACGGCCCTTTTTATTTCCCCTGCCTTTAGGTCCACTAAGACTCTTTGCTGCTATCAGCATCATACAGAAGCCACTCATAGCCTCTAACGTGGCAATTTGTGCCTTTATCGCTTTCAGTAAAAACTCCCAGGCAGACACTTAAACAGAGGGCCAAATTCTGTCGACTCTACTCAAATAAAGCACTGCTGGCTATTAAGATTAACATGTGAATATGATTTTGGACCCAGGTGCACAATATCTGGGGGTTTTTTATGCTGGAATATCACTAGATAGTTAGAGCTACACTACTAGGTACGTGTCTCATACTCTTCCCCACAAAACCAGTTTGCATTAACAATCTTATTAGTTAGTACACTCAACACAGACTCGCTCCCCAGTGCCTGTATATATTAATACTTAAAATTCAAATCGAACACCAATCCAACATTATTTCAAAAAAATTATAATCAACCCCAGCACTGTTTATAACAGACTTCCTCTCCTGCATATGATTTATATCTGTTTTTTTAAATTAAAACAGTGCTATACCCAGAGTACTTTTAAACTAGAGATCTCTGAGAGAGAATTATGACACACTTAACACACTACTCAAAACATTATCATCAACATCTTATTTATTGCCAATAAAACTTCAAAAAGTGTGTTGTCTGTGAGCTATTTGACTTTCAAGTTACTATTTAGCTGAGATTTCTATACCCCAAATCTGTCTTTTTTTTTTTTCCTTTTCAGAGATAATTCCCACTCTGTTATATCACAGTCGAGTATTTCACTGTATGATACACGCAGATTTTTGGTCCAAAAGTAATGGACAGCTGCACATAAGTTACATTTGAAAAATGAAATAAGTTTTTTTAAATGGTCAGAATCATTTCAACTCAGTTTCAAATTAATTTACCAGTAAATAAGGGCGTCTATATCTTTGGCATATTTTAAAAAGTACGCATTGCGCGCTGCAGGTGAGAACACAGATGCACCCACAGCGGAAGAGTGCAAAGGGCACCGCGTACTCCTGACGCATCAGTAAATTGGTCAGATCTATACCTCCTCGTCAGCAATTAAATATAGGACCCAAATATAAGATGTGTGTAAATATATATATATATGAACACAAAAAGACTGGGAAACGGTCTAAACCTTTTTCTATCCTTCTACAACATGTAAGTATTTTTATTTTAATAATATTCTAAATACTTTAAGATCTGGTTTAGATCTTTCCCTTATTCTAATGAACTGCGACCGCATCCTTTGAATTGCTGTAAGGTAGGAGAAGGCTCAGAGGTTTCAAATGAAAACAGCAATGCCAGCACCATAACGTAAGCACTCTCGCGTCCCTTCTGTGAAGAGTAACTATAATACCAACCTAATCTAACGCTCAATTAAATTATAATCACGATTCTCCGAAAGCTCCTCCTCCTTACCCCAAAGCCCCTGTGAATCAGAACCGCTGTGATCCACACCTAGAGAGCCTCCGAGTGCTACGCCGAGTCACGGAAAGCGAAGACGCCCTATTTTTCTCCTATTTCCACCAAAGTTTGCCCATGGCGACCTGCACGAGCAGGCCCAGTGCAAAGGGTCCCTCCGCAGCTCCAGGCCCTCCAGGCTGCTTCCCCCACACCGGAGCGCTTCAGTCAACTCTCATCCGCACCCCTATCGCATTTTCAAAGCAAAGCTTCATCTTTATCACCAGTCACTCAAAAGCCAGCTCATTTAACCGCTTCTACTAATTTTTTTTTCGCGGATAAACTGCGGCTTGCAATTGGGAAACACAAAAAACAAGGCGACTTTCTGGAAACGGGCTGGGGGAGACCGTTCCCAAACTCTTCTACTTTTCGAGCGATTTCCAGGCACGTTATTTTTCACGCAGCGGGTGCAGGAGGGATGAGATTCTCACCGGGTCACCCCACACCGGCTCCGACCCCACAGGTGCTCTGGGACACCCGAGCCATTGCCCTCTCCCTACCAAAGGCCGCGGGAGAGAAAAATCCAGGGGGAATGCTTTCAAATATTGCTACGGGGAGGAAAAGGGCTTGCTTTAAAGTGCACTATTATTGTTGTTATTATTGTAGTTTTTTTAAAAAAATATATCTTTTCCTCTCATGAGCGCGCCACGGGGATGTAGAGGGAAAATGAGAAGCAGCACCCCCGGTGCAGCTGGGGTGGTATTTATGATTGAAGCGTGCGAACCCCTCCAAGGAGAGCCACTTCTGGCCAGACACTTCCTCTCTTGTCCACCAGGAGAAGTGAAAGGGCTCCGGACCCCCCC